CAGTCCACTGGCAGGAGGCGAGTTTTTGTGCAAACAGAAACTGGGTGTGTCTTCGGGATGGAATTAGATCGCAGTGATAATGTCCATACTGTGAAGAGAAGATTGCAAATTGCTCTCAATGTCCCAACCGATGAGAGCTCTCTGACATTTGGGGACCTAGTGTTGAAGAATGATCTTAGTGCAGTTCGGAATGATTCCCCTCTTCTTCTCACAAGGAACCTTATGCATAGAAGTTCATCAACTCCATGCCTCTCGCCCACTGGGAGGGATCTACAGCAAAGAGATCGGAGTGGCCCTATAGAGATACTAGGGAATTCAGATCGGTTTGCTAGAACAACGCAAGTTGTCAAGGACATGGTCAAGGCCATTAAGATGGGGGTTGATCCAATTCCTGTTCATAGTGGACTTGGAGGTGCATACTATTTTAGGAACAGCAGAGGTGAGAGTGTTGCAATAGTGAAGCCAACTGATGAAGAACCTTTTGCGCCTAATAACCCAAAAGGCTTTGTTGGTAAGGCTCTTGGGCAACCAGGTTTGAAGCGTTCGGTACGGGTTGGAGAGACTGGGTTCAGAGAAGTCGCAGCTTTCCTGCTTGACAAAGATCACTTTGCAAATGTGCCTCCCACTGCCTTGGTGAAGATCACTCACTCAATCTTCAACATAAATGACGGGGTGAATGGGAACAAGACTCCCCAGAGGAAGCTGGTTAGCAAGATAGCATCTTGCCAGCAATTCATACAACACGATTTTGATGCTAGTGATCATGGGACCTCCAGCTTTCCAGTAGCTTCTGTGCATCGTATAGGGATATTAGACATTAGGATTTTTAACACAGACAGGCATGCAGGGAATCTTTTAGTTAGGAAACTTGATGGTGTCGGGATGTTTGGTCAAGTGGAGCTCATTCCGATTGACCACGGCCTTTGTTTGCCAGAAACATTGGAGGACCCCTACTTTGAGTGGATTCATTGGCCTCAGGCTTCTATTCCATTTTCAGATGATGAGCTTGAGTACATAGAAAAACTTGATCCGTATGAGGATTGTGAAATGCTGCGAAGGGAGCTTCCCATGATTCGAGAGGCTTGTCTCAGGGTTTTGGTTCTCTGCACCATTTTCCTGAAGGAGTCTGCTGCATATGGTCTCTGTCTGGCTGAAATAGGTGAAATGATGAGTAGAGAATTTCGTAGCGGGGAGGAGGAACCCAGTGAGCTTGAGGTAATTTGTATGGAGGTGAGGAGGATGCTAGCTGAGAGGGAGGCCTTGTCCCCCAAGGCTGATTTGGTGGGAGATCAGGAGTTCCTATTTGACATAGACTGCGAGGACGCAGAGTTAGACTATACTTTAAAGCTTGCAGCAGATGATTATGTGAGCAGGACACCCTTTCAATTTGGAAATGGCAGTGGGCATGGCCGCTCTCCTCTCTCTAAACTGGAAGAAAGCATTGAGGAGGAAGAGGACAGTGAAGTGGAAGAGCAAGAGGCATTAGCAAGTCTGCGATCCCCTGAAAGGGTCCCAAGTGTTTCAAAGCTTTCAATGTCGCTGAAGAATACAGTTTTGGGTGAGAAGAGCCACCTGAAATATACAGGAACAAGAGCAGAAAATGGATACATGGCGAATACATCATCTGGACACAGGAGTGCAAATGAGCAGCTTCCTGCAAGCATGAGCTTTGTGAAGCTGGCTGACATGAGTGAGGACGATTGGATCTGGTTTCTAGAGAAGTTTCAAGATCTGATGTACCCGGCGTTTGCTAAACGCAAATCTATTACCCTAGGTCAGAGGCAGAGACAGAGGCTTGGCACGTCGTGCCAGTTTTGAGATTGAGGCAGCAATGTGTGGGTGTGCTATGATAGTCGATAGACATGACTGAAGACGAACAATAAGATTAGGAGGTTCTGGGAGTGAAGTATTATTACTTTGCTAAGACAGATTTGGTCTGTGGTTTTCCCCCTGGAAGGTGTTGTAGTGATGAGTGACTGTAGGAGGAACCGCTGTAAATATTCTTGGCATCAGCTGAGTGAGGAGCTGAGTAGAATTGGTTGTATTTCTTGTTTTACTTTTTGTTTTGATTTCTTTCGTTCCTTTTTTTAGTTTTCGGGTTTTTTTTTTTTTCACTCGTTATGACTTGTTTGATAAATAATATGTAGAATGAAATCAAGAAAAGAAGATTATGTAAATAGTGAACTCTGTTTCTTCCCTTTGTTTCAAGTTAGTACTTGTTTATTTGTTTCCATTTTATTGAAGAAGTTGGTGTTTTATGCATTTGATCTTTAGCTGTAGCGTACGGTCCTTTCCAAGCCGGAAATTTGGAATGTGAGTGGACTGAGACATCCATCAGTTAATCATTATTGTTGAAAATCTGCCTCATCTTTTTTTGGTACCAAAAATCTGCCTCATCTTTACTTAGGTCATCTCCAGTCATATGGCTAAATGTAGTTAGGTCTAAAAATTTAGCCTTTCAAAACATTAATTTTTTAAAGAATAGTGCATGCTAAAAATTTTCATTTCTAGTTATGCATGGTTATATTTTAGGCCCTTTATATTTTATTATTTTAAAGAAAAACTATGGTACAACATTCATATATTCCACAACTATCTATTGTTTATTTTAATTAAACTATAATTTAGAGACAATATTTTTTAAAACAAAATAATTTTAAAATATTTATAAAGATTTTAAATAAATAAATAAATAATAACTTTTCAATCAGAAACCAATTATATATATATATATATATATATTTTAAAAATGAATTTAAAAACATTTTAAAAGGTTATTAAAGATAAAAATAAAAACTTAACGCCTAGCTGACGTCCTCGATAACGCGCCTTTAATATGGGCTGTTGGATCTGCAGTTGCACGAGATGTTTCGTGCTTTTGCCTATGTATGATACTTTCTTCTCTTGTAAAGCACATGCGTTGAGCCCACGAAAAAATTTAGCCTTGACCAAAGCTGGGTTACATTTGGCTTAGTTGGAGGGCTGAAGCCAAATTTTTTTTTAGCCCATGGCTAGAGACGGATTTTGCATTATTTGAGAGTTATATTTGGCTTATAGCCTATGACTGGAGATGGCCATAAATCGCGATTTATGTCATTTTCAGTGATAAATATTCCTTCTCTTTGTGCCCTTGCTTGAGTTCCACCATTTGTGTTTGGGGTTTTGTAGTTTAAGCGGTTAAAAATAGTTATTCTGCGGATTGCCCCTCCACATTAGGTTGTGTTTTTGAATCCCCTTCCATGATATTTGCTTGTATAAACCTAAAAAATCCACGTTATTCTTTGGTATGTTCCGCATGACGTACGTTTGTGTTAAAAAACATCAGTCCGCCATCCACAGATTAATATGGGGTCCATTATTGTTCTCGACGTTTCTGAATTTGAGGGATTAAATCATGTTCATAACTTCTATAAATTAATGAATTCTGAAAACGACACGACTATTGATTATATCATGGTTGTTGAAATGAAACTATATACAAGAAGATATACAGAGAAATTTTGTCGATGCTGACATGGAAAGCAGAATAGATATTAGCAACCCACCAAGAAACATCGCATGTCAAAGGTCCCACGACCCATTGGATTTCGACTGAAATAATTTCAAGCACTGGCGTTTCAACTTTGCTTGTCAGCAGACTGTTTTGCCCGCTGTTTGCGTCAACCCATCTCCGCGGGTTTTCCACACCTGCCATCTTGAGATTCTTTTGCGTTCTTTGTGATGCAGAGCAATTTTGACATTGGGTATTTTTAATTGATGCATTGAAATTTCATGCTATGTGTAAGGGACTTGTAAGTAACATGTAGTTAAAGAGTAGTTATTCTTGTGCCCGAGATTTTGTGTTCAATTCAACCATTGCTTGAAGATGGGCGGTAACAATCTTTCACTCTTAATTACAACTTATATCTCATTAGTGGTGGGTTTTCACTTTCAATCTTTCACTCTTAACAAGGGTTCATTTTGGATTTGGACTTTATCTACAAAGAAGATAGGCATTGAGATTTGGTGCAACTAACAATCTCTGTGGGCAGTCAAAGGCCTTGCCATTTTAGCTGACGGAAATTGTTGTGTTGTATGTCTCCGTCCATCAGAGCACACATGAATTGATATTAATGATAGATTAATTAGTGTGAAAAATTCATTGGGAGGTGGACGGAGACTGCAATGAACCAACGTGGCAGCCTAATCTTGAACATGAGCAGCTTTGCATTGTAGATTGCCACTTGTCTCTGGTGTGGGGTTGGGGCTGGGGTCCTCTGTCACTAATGGTTTACGATGCAAGACAAAATGATGCAATTAACAAGTTGAGCAGAGACAGACAAAACGTGAAACTCAGAGTTGTCCTGTTGTCCCCTTCTCTCAGTGTCACTACAACAATTTGAAGCAAAGCATTTTGCAAATTGCAATGACTGGTCAATTTGACTCTGCTAATACAAACTGTTTGCACTAATCATATTGTTTAGGGCTTTAAGTACATGAGAGAATCAGAAGGCTCAATTGAATGGAAAGTAGGAGCCATCAATTTCAATTGCTGCCAATGATTAAAAAAGCACAGCTTTTGACTTGAGTGCATGCTTCTTTTTAACATATTATAGATCTCCTTTTGTTGAAAGCAGAATTTGAAACACCAGCATTGCTGGGTAAACACAAGTATTATGGATCCACTGGTCTTCATTATGGCCAAGATAGGCTGGCCTTAGGATCAATTGGTCTAGTGATGAAAGCAAGTCCATTCATTAGGTTGGGCCATGTCAAAATCTTGCAGATTCCAGTCCATTGAGTAATTTACTAAATGTTGTAACCTTATGAACCAATGATAACTCAAGTGTTTAAGAGCAGTTACTCAGCACTCGAGGTTATGCGTTTGAATCCCCCATTCTCCAATATTGCTTGAATTTTTTTTAAAAAAAATATAAAACAGAGCAACGCTTGTCATTCTCTTTAATATGATTCATGCGTTGCACCAAGAAACATAAAAAAGGCAAAGAAGAGCTGTAGAATTCAACTTGGATGCTATTCCATTTCTGCATAACTTAAAAATATTAGTCACCACCATAGAGCTACATATGGAAGCCAAATATTAATTTATTACATTAAACAAAATGAAGTTTCTAAAGAACATTTGATACAAATATTTTCATGATGTTAATTAAATAGATTAGATATGTCTCCAAGGTCTTTCTGCAAGGCTCACACATTCACTGTATCGATAACAATCCACAAGATGATCAATGGTCAACCCTGCAGCTTGCATGAAGGAATACACAATGACTGGCCCAACATATCGAAACCCTCGCTTGATCAAATCCTTGCTCATGGCTTCTGCTTTGGGGCTCCTCAGAGGAACATTTCTTGGATATCTGAATCTGTTGATGACTGGTTTGTGGTTCACAGAACCCCACATGTAGCTGCTAAAAGAGCCACATTCCCTCACAATCTGCATTTGTTTTTGATAAATTAATTAAGATATATCAGGTGCAATGGGGCAACCAAACTTTAATTGATATCAGCTTTTAATTTGTTAAGTTTCTAGCTTGCCTTCAATATGCATTTGGCATTGTCTATTATGCACCTCACTTTGCACTCTGCCAACATTATTGCCTTGTTGGAGGCTATCTCTGCGATCTCGTTCTCCCCCATTTTGGCAACTTTGTTTGGATCAAATCCGAAAAAGGCTTCCCTGAGTTACAACCTAAATCATAAGCTAATTCAACCATGTTTTGATACAAAGTTTCATAAATTAGTCGGATGGGTAGAATAGGAGAAACACTTGCGTGAAACATAGATAGCACAAGTCAATCACGATATGCCAAGTATGATAACTATTTGGGAGATTCACTATTATACCCAATATAGGAGCCCAAATTTTAAAAAAAAAACCCTATATGAAATGGACTTTAGAAACACACTCAAAGCTCATGTACAACATAACAAAAAGGCTTTTAACTTCTTTTAAATTACAAAATTGTCATTGATTTCTTAAAACAAACCCAACCCTAAAACCTCATAGAAAAAACCCAAAACACTTAATAGGGCATCAAAGTAATTTAATAATCAAAATTAAATTCAATAGGGTCATCTATCATTTTTTGAGTTTGTTTATAGAAATTAAATGGTGTAGGGTTTATTTATAGTTTTAGTGCTAAGAATGAGTATATGACTAAATATCTCTAACTATTTCACTTTTCATACCATGATTGGTTGGGGATGGCAAAACAGTGTTGTTCCCGTTCCACACAAGTTTTTCTGGTAGAAAAGAGGTTACCTGAAGAGCTCCCTTCTTTTGACAATTTCAGTCCAGTTGTGGTCCATCAACATACCAGACAATGCAAGCAGCTCAAACAATTGACTGTATGCAGCAGATAATTAATTAACACTAAATAGTTGGCTTAAAAGTCCATATAAATTATGGGGAATTAAAAGCTCCAAAGGACTTACTTGTCATCGTACGCTGGAACTCCCCAGCATTCGTCGTGAAACGCTACATAAACTTTATCTGCATAACATAATAAAATTTTACGATCAATGCATGTCTGCATAGAATTATTCTATTTACTCCAGCAAAACCAAAAAGAGTTTCTTATACTGTTTATTGTAACTTTGTTGAAATGTCAACCAGTTGGTTGTGATGGAAACTTGATGACTTTTTCTTTTGTTTATTTATGTGTACTATCATTTTCTTTAGATTCCTCATACCAACTGCGATGACCATTTTTTTGTTCTTCCCTTTTTTCTCTTTGGTTGCCTGGTAATTAAGATGTGGCTTTGTCAAAGCATGAAAACGAGAAATCAAAGTTTTCTGCAATGTGTGATGAAGCAATGAAACTTACCACTGTTCTTTGTTATCCAATTGCACCTCTTCAATTCCCCATCATTAGTATCCTGCGCCTGACTAATTTGCTGCTGGACAACTTTAGCCACTGGGGAATTATATTCTCTTCTTTGAGTTGGTGCAATGAATCGGAGCGCCGCGGAAATCTTCTGATCCAGTGTGCTAGAATCAGTGAGAGAAGAATCATAGGAGTTTTCTGACAGAGACAATGACAAAGATGATGACAGAGATAGAGATAGAGATGAAGTGCTCTTGTGAAGCCCAATTGGGTAGATTCTCTTGAGGTGTTTAGGGCTACTTGTCTTCTCTCTCTGTTTCAAAACTTTGTTCTTCTCCAGAAGTACATGCCTTCTTACATTGGCTCCAGACATTTTGCAGCAGAGGATGAGGAAAGCTAAGCTTATTAACTTAGCTTAAATGGGGTAGCTATGTTAAAGCAGGCTGAGATTTATAGGAAGAGTTATGGTTAAGTTGGTTGGTGAAATGTGAGTTTCATGCATAATGCTCTGCTACCATTTCCTCCTTAGTTTCAAAGCAAAATCCAAGGTAAAAGGTTTCTTTGAATCATTGAGCCTTTGTGATTTATAAAGATCACCTGAAAAATTTATTCACATTGTGATGATGGGTCCATGTCATTCTTAGCTCCTACTCTTTTTTTTTTTTTTCTTTCTTTGTAGCCTTCTCTGTAGGTTTGAAGCATACTTGTTGCCAGCACAGAAAAAGATATCCCATCCATCAATTTCATGCTAAGCTTCCTAAGTCTCTTTTGATTTGTCAAGACTTTGGTCTACCATTTTGGTTGCTTGTGAAAAAGTCATGTAATAATTTAGGGACCAAATACAACATAGTACATTGAAACATTACTAAACAAACTAAGCGTCGAACATTTTTTTAGCTAAAAATATTGTGGGCTTCACTTTCGGCCCACTTTAAGTTGGTCCAATTCTTTGACAAGCTCATCCAAATGCTTTGAAGAGCTCCCCCCACTTCCCACGGCCGCAAATGCCCTGTCCCTCAGTTCCTTTGCTCTCACCTTCTCTGGTGTCTCCCTAGTCATCGACTCGGAAATCACCTTTCCTAACTCGGCCGGGTCCGGCACCGCATTATCGCCTTCGCACACCTTCACGGCCACACCCATGTCCTCAACCAACAGCTTGGCATTCACAAACTGGTCAGCCTCCATGGGCCAGCCCAATATCAATACACCAGCCACTATCGCTTCCAACACAGAGTTCCACCCACAGTGGCTCACAAATCCGCCCACGGCCTTGTGGCCCAATATCAACACCTGTGGGGCCCAACCCTTTATGACCAAGCCCCTCCCGCTCACCCTTTCCTCAAACCCATCTGGTAAAACCCCATACCCATCTTTCACCTGTTGGGCCGAGCCTGTTTTCACGGCCCACACAAACCGAACTCCGCTCCGTTCGAGCCCAGAAGCCAAGGCCTCCATCTGAAGCCTATTTGGCAACTTCTGACTCCCAAAGCAAACGTAGAGCACGGATCCGTCGGGGCACCCGTCGAGCCACGTCATCACATTGGCACCGGAGTCCTTGTTTGGGTTGGCCCGGCCCAAACTACTGTCATCAGCAGCTGCGGCCGCTGTTAGACTCAATGGGCCAACCGCGTAAACACGGGAGTGGCCCATTTTAATCCGCAAGTGGGCGAAATACTCAGCCTCGAAGTCCTCAAAGCTGTTAAAAACGCATCCCCAACTCTCGGTATTGGCGAGCATGGAATTCCTCAGGAGCTCAGACTCAGGATCCGATTCTCTGTGGCAGCGGACCACAGAGGGCACCTGGTCCTGTTTAAAAGAGGGCGATCTAGGAAGATCAGGAAAATGAACGATCCCTGATGAGGGGCGCATTTTGTCCAAATTACGCCAGCAGTAGTGGAACACAGAGGCCAAGAAGGCGCCAGAGGAGTAAAAGGTAATTCTGGGAATGCCAAGCTGGTGGGCCAGGTGTAGGGTCCACCCGAGGAAGAAATCAGAGACGAGGGCCACCGGGGGGTTAGGGTGGGAGCTGAACCAGTCGACAATCGGGGCCTGGAGATTGGCTAGGGCGTTGATCACATACAAGTTCCCGTGGTTGCCTATGTCCTTGATGTTCTCAAGGCCCGGGGGTATTTTGGGGTGAGGAGGGAAGGGGAGGACTACGGTTTGGATGGAGGAGGGGTGGGTGTGGAGGAGAGGGGTTAGGGTTGGGAGGTTTTTGGGGGTGACCAAGATGGTTATGGAGAGGCCGTGGAGGGCTAGCTGGTGGGTTAGGTCTAAAATTGGGAGCATGTGCCCTTGCGCAGGGTAGGGGAACACCAGGATGTGGGTTTTGCCGGAAATCGACATGGTTTTCTGTTTGGTGATCCAGAAAAGGAGAGAGAGAGAGAGCAGGGAGACTTAGAGTTGACTATATGGTTAGGGCAGTGTGGTGTGAATGTGGAAAGATGCATATCTAGGACTAGATATATTGTCCAATTTATCCACCCCGTTGTGGACTTTCCGATCCCAAAAAGTTTTGGACTGTGGACAGAATGGTTGGTTGGTTGTTAATAAACAAGTGTCTCTCAACCACCGGCGTCTGTTAACTATTTGCGTTTGAAATTTAGGAAAGGTGACGGCGAACTTTTTACAAGGCCATCATGTCTGATCTGTACTGTGTTGGGTCATATTTGCTGCCTCACCAACCCATTGGGCTGGCATTGGTCCAGTTTGATCTTACAGTCGGACTCAGGTTCTCTAATGGGCCTGGGAAAAATACATTCTTGGGCTCATTTGCGAGTTTTTGTATAGGAAACACTTATGCTTATAAGCGCATTTTCATAAATGCTTCTAGTAGAAGGACGTCAAAATTTTTATTAAAAATCCAAGTGCTTCGTGAGAAAACAATTTTAAGTTTTTCTGCGAAGCACTAGCAATTTTAACTATTAGCTATTTCAAAAGCACTCTCAAACGATTTGTGTAAAGTTTACCACTGAAGGAGCATTCGGGAAACAAAAAAAAGTCAAAAAGGAAACCCAATTAAGAGAAGTAAAAAGTAAAATTAGAAGGTTCATAATTAGTACGTTACCGAAATTCATATATAATATAAGGCCTCATCCGTTTTTTAGGACTAGTTATTCTTAGGAGGGTGGTGCCTTGGTGAATGGTAATCCTGACTAAAAGCTACAAAACCTGCAGAATATTCATCATTATGATCATAATCAACACCTCCTTTTACACTGCTACTTTCTCCATTGCCAATCGACGTCGCTTCATGACTGCCACCTGATGATTTTCTGCTGCTTGAAGCCGTCTTTGAGTTGCTTTTCCTTCCACTCACAGCATGCACTTCTACTTTAACTTCCTTCTCTAACCTCACAACCTTGTGGAGAGCTCCCATTTTCCTTCCTCCTATCTTCTTGTCCTCCTTAGTTGCAGTAGATGTAGAAGGACTAACCACTTCATCAATATCCTGGCCCTGCAGGCATATATATATAAATTATAGAATGAATCATATCTTTATACGAAAGCTTTAAAATGTACATTAATATTAGACTGGTTATTTCAGAATATAATAACTAAAACATTGCATACCCTTACGGTTGAAACATCAATAATTTTGGTCACGGCAGCGTTTCCGCCTTCAAATTAAAGAAAATTGAAATGTTGGTAAGCTTAAACATTGCATAGTGAGAAATAGTACTGTAATTTCAAGCATCTTAAAGAAAAATTTGAACTATATAATAGAGAAAGAAAAGCAGATACCTAATTGATGAAGGGGATGTGCAGACATACCCCATATGCTTGCAGCAGAAACAAGCACAAACAGTAGCAAGCAATAACAAGAAGACTTCATAATAGCCCCAAATATCTGTCTGTCTTTCCCTTTTCACCTTTTAAAGAGAAGAATAAATGAAACCTAGCACTGCAGAGTGAGTCAGTGAATGCGTTAAATCTGGATTTCAAAGAGAGTCAAATGTGTAAAACCCAAGTCAAATATATAGGTGGCATCAACACACACACACACACGCATAACATATATACCCAAGTCAAACCAAACTAGTCAAATATATAGCCTATCTAGGGGACCCTAGGGTTCCTAAAAACCTTTGAATATTTTAACTTTTTTAGAGGATTGGCTGTGGCCAAGACAACCATTACAAATGCTACATAAAACTCCGTGTAACCCATGTGTATTTTGATGTGGGAACGAAGATTTCGAAGCATCTTGAGAAGAATTTGATGTATGTTTCTCGCATTTTCAGAAACAAACCTAACTATTTAGACCTCAAGGGCCAAGAGGGGCATGCATAGTTAGAAGATAAACTTAGTACTATAACGTGGAACGGAAGCTACGGACGTTAAAGTGTTTTGTGCCTGTCTGCCGTCATATGCAAACACCCATCAAGCACATCGAAGGGCTGGCTTGGCCTAATTCCTCAATGTATTTATATATGTATATAATTCTAATATCTCACCATAATAACAACAATATGTTATATTATAAACGAAGAATTATGGCATATTTAAAAGAGCAAGAGTCGAATTTCTTGTATCTCATGATATTGCTTTAGATTTTGTGATCGGCAGTACAAGATATTTGAACTTAAAAATCACCTCGATCAATTATATATAAAATTACCACAAAACTAAAAGCTAATAAGTCACATTCATTATTATTTTGTGCTGGAATCATAAAACTACGAGCCCGCCAAATTTAAGCAAAAGAGGATGCATATATATGGCATGAAATTAAGAGAATAAGAAACATCTATGCGATGCAAAGTAGTATAATTTTGAATCACTCACTCTATTGCCTATATTATAAGGGCTCTCGCAACTATGTGTGTTAGAACACCTGGAATTGTGTCTAGGGTTTAAGAACTTGGGATGGTGAAGGCGTTTCATCCAACGAAACTTTCAGTGGGTAGCCCTCGTCTACAGTGTAAAACTCATTTGTTTTGCTCAACTCAACTCAAACCACCTCTAAATATGTTTTTCCAAAGTCGGAATTTGTGCACTGTGTTGCATGGCATTTTGCGTATACCTAGCCACAAATTATATAATATATATAATCTTAATAGAAAAATTAAAAAGAAAATAAGTACAGAATTATGGAGGCCTTACCAGTTACCAGCTTCTGCAAGTTGCCTAGTGGAAATGTATGAATTTCAGCCAGCCGAAAAGTGATTTGAATTTCAACAATTTAATTAGGCCGTTGAAGATCGATCATCAAATACTAGATCCAATGCGTTTAAGGAAATAAATGTGAAATGTTGACCAAAAATAAAAGGAAATAATTTGAAATGAATACAATTTGACATTCAAAATTTTGAAATAATTAGGTGCAATGTATCATCTAAATTCAGGTATCAAAGCTTTTTTTTCTTTCTT